CTCACTGTTGGTGCCGGGGGGGGGGGTTGGTGAGGGAGAAGGATTGGTGGGCCCGGGCCTCACCATCGGTGAAAGGTGGGGCGGGGGGAAAGGCTCGCCTGCGGCTGCATCCTCCTCCTCCGCCATGTGGAGCTCCCCCCCCACGCGCGCGAGTATCGTGGGTCCCCGCTTCTTGTTCCTTCTAATAGTAAACCAACAGGCCACAATAGTTGCACAACGGGGGCCCTCACAGACAAGGCTAGGGGTCTCAACCTACTTGGGAAACCCTCCAGGTATGCAGAAAAGATGACTTTGTAAAGTAACCAATTGGGAGAAGCCAGCCTGATGAGGACTGAGCATGTTTCAGGAGGCACAGAACAGCGACAGCGGCTGAGAATCAGTTAAGAGAGACAGGAAACGAGAGGAGCAATCGGCCCCTTACAGAATCCCAGGCAGGGGCCAGGTGTCCCATTTTTCTCCCCTTGCCCGAAGGTTGGACCAAAACCAAGGTGTTGAAATTAAATCAAAACAGTTTTTGGCTAAACATTAGGAAGAACTTCCGGACAGAGCAGTTCCTCAGTGGAACAGGCTTCCTCAGAAGGCGGTGGGCTCTCCTTCTTTCAACGTTTTTAAGCAGAGGCTAGATGGCCATCTGCCAAGCAATGCTGATTCTGTGAACTGAGGCAGATCATGAGAGGGAGGGCAGGAAGGGTTGCATCAGTGCTTAGTTCTCATGGCCCTTTCTTACACGCCCAGGGAAATGCTGATCGCCACTATGGGGTCAGGAAGCAATTTTTCTCCTGGCCATTTTTGCCGGGGATCCTGGAGGTTTTTTGTTTTGGAACAGCAGTCACTGGAGGTGTCAGGGGGAGGTATTTGTGAATTCCTGCATTTCCTGTGCAGGGAGTTGGACTAGATGACCCTGGAGGTCCCTTCCAATTCTATCATTCCTCACAGAACCCCAGCTTGTCATGTCTAAAGTGATACATTCCACACTCTGGCAAACTCTCTCAGACTATAGGCCCATTTCTTCCTTCAGCACCCAGAGCGGTGTTTCACCTCCAATTAGGGTTGCCAACCCCCCCCCCCCGGTTTGCCAGGGGTCCCCCATTTTGGGGGGGGTTCTACCCGCCGCCGGCCCACCCCCAACACCCACATCCACCCCTCTCTCTCCCTTTAAGTGTGTGGAACCCCTGTTTCCTCCCAAGCCCGATCTCCATTTGAGATCAGGCTTGCAGGGAAATGCCAGCTTTGTGCACTTAAAAGGGAAACGCGGCTGCTCTTAAAGGGGAAACGCCGGCTCCTGCGCTTAAAAGGGAAACGCCGGCTCCTTTAAGTGAAGGGAACTGCTGTTTTTGGAGATCCGGCCCATGGGGGGGGGGGACGTCCCCAACATGACGTCATCACATCGGGGATGCCCCGCCCCCTCCAGGAACGCCCCCAAAGTCCCCCGCTGGGGGTGGAAGATGGACTTGGCAACCCTACCTCCAAGCCCCACCCCCTTCCCAGGGCCTGAGAGATGGCCTCAGCCCCATGCCAAAGTCACAAAAGTGAGGGTCGTGGAAGCAAAAGCTTAGAGGCGGGGGGGAGGGGGGGAGGCATTTCCAATTTTATGGCAACAGTTTTGTAGGTATTTCTTTCAACCCAGCTTAACCGGCAAGAAATATGGGAGATTCTCATGTTTTGGGTGGGAATTGGGGAAACCCCCCTCACACTTCACACTGAAGTCAGATTTTGAACTTGCTAATAGCTAACTTTCTTCATTCTTTTCGGGGGGGGGGGTTTGTAGGAGAAATTCCCCTCAATAGAGGAACCAGATGCTCAAGGGGTTACACGAACCCTGCATATAAGTTGCTGCTTGGTAAACTGTTCTTTTCAATCATTTCCGAAAAGTCTGCCCCCCCCCCCCACTTGGGGTGGGAATACCCTTTCCCGGAAGTGACCCATTACCCTTTGATGACAGAGTCCAAAAATAAAAAAGAGCCCTGTAAGTTCAATAATGGAGCTGTGGTGGCTCAAGTGGTTAAGACGCTGAACTGCAGGCTGTGGAAGATCAGTAGTTCAGCAGTTCGAGACCCGAGTTGCCGCATGACGGAGTGAGCTTCCGTCTCTAGTTCCAGCTCCTGCCAACCTAGCAGTTCGAAAGCAAGAAATTGCAAGTAGATAAATAGGTACCACTTCGGTGGGAAGGTAACAGCGTTCCGTGCACCTCGGTGTTTAGTCATGCCGGCCACATGACCACGGAAACGTCTTCGGACAGCGCTGGCTCTTCGGCTTGGAAACGGAGATGAGCACCGCAACCCTAGAGTCGGATTCGACTGGCTTTCGAGCAAAGGAAACCTGTACCTTTACCTTTAAGTTCAATAATGGACTGTTTGCTGTCCTTTGACTGCTTCCAAACCTGCTACCTGGGGGGGGGGGGGAGCCCCCCTCTTGTGCTGTTTCACAGCCTGGTGCCCGGGGGGGGGGGGGCAGCCCCTCTCTGCTGAGCCCTGCAGGGCAAACTGTTTGCAAGAATCGTGTGTGTGTGTGTGTGTGTGTGTGTGTGATTCCTGACTCTTACCCAGACCCAAAGTGGATTTTCCCCTTCCTACACTTCCCCAAAGCAAAACAGGAACAAGCCCAGTCTCATTCTGAACGTGACAAAAAATAAGGAAATTCGCCCCATCCGCCTCCACCCGGCAACACACGCAAATGCTGACCAGTCCAGCAGAGGAAGCCACTTCTGTCTGCTATCCCCCCCTTCCCCCCCCCACCAAACCCTCCAAAATTACAAGGGAGGGGAAGAAGGCACATCCATATCCTGGCTGCAAGCCCCCACAAACGAACCCTGCAGCTAAATCATTGACAATTTGATACCCTCTGATCTGACACCTAACATGGTCCCCCTGTGTCACCTCATGAGGCGGCAGCCAAAAGAAGGGAGATAATGAGGCAGAATTAACAACACCCTCATGTCGAAAAGCCCCAAGCATGGGAGTGGTTGCGCCTCAAAAAGGTTACCCTGCCATGCCAGGAAAGAGCAGATACAGCAGGTCCGCTGACGTCATGGCCTCGCCCCTCATGCCTTGTCCGGCGGCTACTAGGCCGTCCTCCCCAGCCCCTGCCGTTGTCATAGTTACAGGGGGGGGGGGGGGGGGGGGGACATCCTTCACGACCAAACACTTGGGGTGTCGAGACTAGGGTGAGATGCTGCCACGCCGCCGGCCAAAAAAACAACACGATAAGGCTTTGGGGTGGGGGAACCATGACCAACCGAGGGCCAGCCCCACGCCCCCTTTCTCACAGACTCTGGAAACAAGAACTGAAGACGTACCTCACTCTCGGAGCATGCCTTCCAAAAAAGACCGTAAAAAGCACCCAGCGCACAAGGTGGCAAGCCAAGAAGTTCCATTCAAGCAGGCAGAATGTGGTGACCCCCGCCCACTCCCTCGCACCTGCCTGCCGTTACGGGTCCCCAGCCCGCCTCTCAGCAGCTCCAGGGGCTCCCAAAGGCACCCTCCCTTGGTCCCCCACTCCCCTCCCATCGCCCCAAACGATATCCGAACCGAGCCCAGGAGAAATCCATGAGAGAAAACCCAGCCCTGGGATGGGCAAGAACAAAGAAATTTCCAAGTTCAGTCTCCACAGCCAAGCATGACGGAGAGGAAGAAACCCTCTGGAGCCACTCTAAGAACCTCCACTCTTACGGACGAGGTTGTACCCTCCAGCTTCGGGGGTGTGTGTGTCCTGATGGGTCACAACGGAGGGGCCAGAATCCCCACACCACCACCCCAGCATGTCAGAAAGGAAAGCCCAGACACCCTGGGCTTCTAAGCGACAGTACTCTAACAAAGAAACACCCCACCGACTGACGAAAAAGGAGGCTGCGTGCCCATAGGGTCCCCCCACCGTAGGTGCAGTTACAGCAAAAACGGACGATCAGCAGAATCTCCATGGTGGCCCCTTTGCAGCCTGGCTCCCACTCCCAGCTCCATCGGCGGTCCAAGGAAGAGTGGTGGCTGCCGGTGAGATCGACAAAAGGCAGCTGGTGGCGAGGAGGAGGAGGAGGAGGAGGGAAGGGGGCGTGAGAGCTGTCAGACGCCACCAGCATCCTAAAGAGGTGCAGCCCCCTCCTCACCTCTCGCCTCCCCTCCCGGAACCGCACAAAAGGCTCCATCTCCACAGAGGATGCGATCCATAATGCATGGGTTAAGGTCACTGGGGAAAGGGGGGGAAGAGACAGAGGCAGACAAAGGCTTCCCGCACACACCATGCACACACTCGCGCGCACACCCTTAATGGAGGAGAATCAATACCTTCCATGGTGACGGAGGTGTGGCTCTCTTTGGAATCTTTGGGGCCCTTCACCTTCAACTCCTGCCAAAGGGAAACGTCGGTTTGTTAGCGGCAATTGCACAGTGTGGAAAGGGCTTGCATTTCTGGGATCGGGAGCGATGCTCCCTCTAAGCTGCGGAGTCTTGTGGGCCAAAATTCTACCTTGTGAGCTAGTGGCATTAAAGTTGTGAGCGAGCGATTTGGCTGCTGCATAAATCAGTCTGCTCTGGAGCCATCCTTCCTGAGCTGAGACAAAAATGTGTGAGCCGGAGGCTAAAAAACTGTGAGCTAGCTCACACTAACTCAGCTTAGAGGGAACACTAATCGGGAGGTTTGGGGGTCTCTGTGTGTGTCGGTTTCTCCCTTTTCAAGAAATCTGAAGGATTCAAGCCCTGTGGTCATACTCTGGTCGAAACAAAAAGCCTTCCACCCCTACTTCTGAGAATGTGCAGAGCCCACCCTTTCCCCTTCTTGCCCACTTCTCATGCATCTACCACTGAAACATGCACAATCGGGGACACGTTTGTGGTCAAAGAGCCATGGCCTTATGGACAGAACTGGCAGCCCCAACCTTGCTCAGCCTGGAGTGGAGGGAGTGGAGAACAGAATGGATTTCAGATGAGGACCTCTTGCTGAAACTGAAGCAGGACGCCCAAGCTTCCGAACATGTGCATGCACACACTGTGACACAGACTGGAATCTGATGGCATCTCCTCTCTCACCCCAAAAGCATCAGAACTGCCTTATAGGATTGGACACACCTAACCAGACAATCCTCCGTGGCACCCCACCCACACCAATGCCGTTTTGCTTGTTCCCATGGTCTAGCAATCAAGGGTAGACTGCCTCTCAGCACGGAAGCTTCATTTTAGCCATCACAGGCAGCGGAGGTCATAAGCTGGTGAGTTTGTCTAGTTTGAAAAACTTAAAAGGCGATTTCCTCCCCTCCACATGCCCCCATACACTTCCATCCACAGTCTTTTCACTGCCCCACTTGTGAACAGAGTTTGGGTCCAGCAGCACCTTCAAGACCAACAAAGTTTATTCTGGGTATAAGCTTTTGTGTGCAGGCACACTTCTTCAGATACACAAAAAAGCTTATACCCAGAATTAATCTTTGTCGGTCTTAAAGGTGCCGCTGGACTCAAACTCTGTTCTATTGCTCCAGACCGACATGGCTACCCGACTGAATCCACCTTGTGAGCAAATCACAAGATCTTGGAAAACTGAAGATTTTAGAAGCAGAATAACGGAAACCAGAAATTGACATTAAGTGTGTAGGAATTCGAGCAGGGTAGGAAGTGGAGTAGGACTTCCACTTGACCGGGAGAGAAATGAAGACTGGTTTGTACTTGGATGGGAGACCACCAAGGAAGCCCAGGGTTGCTACACAGAGGCAGGCAATGGCACGCCACCTCTGGACGTCTTTCTGCTTGAAAACCCTACAGGGTCACCACAAGTCAGCAGTGACTTGACAGTACTTTCTCCCGCCGCCTCCACAGCAAAGAGAAGCAAAACCAGTAAGCAAAAATATGCAAATTAGGTTACATGGCACAAATCATGTGCACCACCAAAGCAGAAGAGGTGGCCCATGGATCTATAACTTGGGCCACAGACCCCTGCCCAACACAGAAGTGGTGTGACCCATTGTTATAGTTGTCATGCATATCAAAGACCAACCTTTTTTTACCTGTTCAAATTTATACCCCGCCCTTCACTACCCGAAGGAGTCCCAGAGCGGCTTACAATCTCCATCCTCTTCCCCTCCCCACAACAGACACCCTGTGAGGTGGGTGGGGCTGAGAGAGCTCTTTCAAGAACTACTCATGAGAAAACAGCTCTGACAGAACTTGTAACGGACCCAAGGTCACACCAGCAGCTGCATGTGGAGGAGCTGGGGAATCAAACTCGGTTCTCCCAGACTGGAGTCCGCGCTCCTAACCACTACACCAAAAGAGGAGGTGGGGGCATAGCCGGGGGGAGGGGCATGATTTCGTAGGAGTTTCCATTTGCAGAGAAGGTTCCTTGGGAATAGGCACCAGTCCCATTGGCTTGCCTTACCCTGTAAAATGTCACATACATGAACAATAATGCTAATAAACCCTCACTCGGGCATGAATGTCACTACGGGGCCTCGTGCAAGTCACTCCCTGCCAACTTGTAGCTTGCCTGGCAGGGTTGTTGTTATTACGGATGAGAAAATCCCACTGCTAACACCATTGAGTGTTTTGGGAGAAGAAGGGAACAACATGACGTAGTAGTCAAAAGTGCCTCACCTGGATCTGTGAAAACCCAGGTTCAAATCCCCACTCACACTCTGGAAGCTTGCTGGGTGACCTTGGGCCAGTCACCCACTCTCAGCCTAAGCTACCTCACAGGGCTGTTGTGAGGATTAAATGGAGGAGAGGAGAAGGGTGTAAGCCGCGCTGGGTGCCCATGGGAGAGAAAGGTGGGGTATCAATAACATAAGTAAAATAATAAATAAAAACATGACAAGGATGAGGATTACATATGCTGAACAATGAGGGGGGTGGTCACAAACAGCAATGATTCGCACCTCTGAGATCTTCTGGAACTGATTGTTACTTTGGCTGCACTTCTCTGCTGTCTCAAGGGCGATTTTATAGTTGTCCACAAAGGCCTTGTAAACTCCCAACTGGCTGGCCTGTTGAGGGGGAGGGGGGAGAGGGAGAACCATTTTTTTTTAAAAAAAGTGGCAACTGAGTTTATTGGCTTACATCATACAAGTCATAACAGAAATGCGATTTTTTAAAAAAAGTAAAAAAAAAATTTAAGTTATTTGTCATTACAAGCACCCACGGCATCCATTTTGGATTTTTCCTGTCATGCACCAGCCTAAAAGGAGTACAAGACCACTGAAACAGCCCTGCTGGATTATACCAACGCGCGGTCAGCATCCTGCTTGCGATAGTGTCTGGTCATACGTTCCAGAAGATCTACAAGCACAGAGGCCAAAACCTCCCTGTTGTTGCCTCCCAACAGCTGGCACTTTGAGGTACACTGCCTCTGAACATGGAAGTTCTGATTTGGCCATTATGACGACTGCAGTCATCACTACATCCTGTGGTGGACAGTCCCACAATACGATTATCTGCTGGGTTAAAGAAGTAGCTCTTTTGTCCGTCCTGAATTTATGGGCCTACCAACTTAATTGAATTCTCCGAGTTCCAGAACTGTGGGAGGGAGAGAAGTCAATTCCATCTCTGCTTTATAACTGTATAAACCTCTATCATATTCCCCCCCCGTCATCATATTCTAAAATAAACCCTTGCCCTCCTAACCAGTGTGGTGTCCTGGTTAGAGCATCAGATTAGTATCTGAGAGACCCAGATTCAAATCCCCGCTCTGCCATGAAAGATCACTGGGCGACCATTGGCCAATCACACTCTCTTAGCCTAACCTACCTCACAGGGTTGTTGTCAGGATAAAATGGAGGAGAGGAGAGTGATGTAAGCCACTTTGGGTCACCATTTGCGGAAAATGCGGGGTATAAATGAATTTTAAAACATAACCTCTTTGGCCTTTCCCCATAAGAAAGTTGCTAAAAACATGTTCAATGCTTGGGATGATCCCGAAGCCTTTGCTGGAATAAGAAAATCCCTCTATGAGCCCCGAAGGGTTTTACGATCTGCCAAGATGACATCTGTGAGACTTAATTCTAATGACAACTGCACCCTGAGCCTGATGGTTTTGGACAGTCTCGCTGCATCCCGCATTTTTATTTTTTATTTTTATTTATATTATTCGACATCTATCCCGCCCTCCCCACATGGCAGGCTCAGGGCGGGTTACATCAGATTTAATTAAAAAATACAATATATAAAATACAAAGGAATTGCTAAAAATACGATTCAAACACTGATAAATTACAACTTTATTTATTTATTTCACTTTTACCCCACCCTTCCCGCTAGGCAGGCTCAGGGTGCAGTTGTCATTAGAATTAAGTCTCACAGATGTCATCTCGGGTAAGCAGTTCTGACCCCCACTGCGGGGAGACCTAGAAAAGAGGGAGGGACGTCCGTCACTCTAGTTAAAAGCCTGGCGGAAGAGCCCCGTCTTGCAGGCCCTGCGGAACTGTAAAAGGTCCCACAGGGTCCTGATCTCATATGGGATCTCATTCCATCAGGTAGGAGCCAGGGCTGAAAATGGGTCCCTGAGGCCAGGGACCACCAGAAGGTGTTGACTGGCAGATCGTAAAACCCTTCGGGGCTCATAGAGGGATTCTCTTATTCCAGCAAAGACACATACAGGAAAGAGCAGCGTCCCGGATTCCGGATTCGGAAGGCCACAGGAGGAGACTTTTGGAGGGGTCATTTTCAACTACAGCTCTGTGACCCCAGGATAAACCCCCCCCCATCGCCACTCCATCTAACAAATGGGAGAGAGCAGTCTTAAATGTGAGCATGGGGGAAACCTGTTACACCTCCCCCTGCCAAGAAGTGGCAAAGAGTTCCAGGTGAAACTTTCCACACTGGCCCTTTGTTTCCCCTTGCCTCATTCAAATAAGAAAACTTTCCATCCAAGAGAACAGTCACCTTTATGTGGCTTCTCCCACCCGAGTGCCCCATTTGACTGTATAAACAGAGAACAAGCTATGGGTGAGGTTGATGCCCAACCAAAGCACACTTACCTTGCAGCAACACCGGAGACTGTGCAGTCACTGCAGCAAGCTGTCTGGCCAATCGGGGAGCGCAGTGCATATACCGGCCCCAAGCAAACAGGAGGCATCACCACGGCTCACTTTCCTTATTCAGAGTTAGGTGTTATGTCTGAGGTCAGGTTTGTCAACTGGGGCTTATGTGACCCACGTTTGAGTACATGCGATGGAACAGACAAGGGAGAAGGCAATTCTCCTGCCCCTCCAGAGACTATTTACAAAGCTACCAGGCAGTGCCAAAGATATCTCCCTATATTTGCCCTCCAGGGAACAGGGCTTAACTTGACAAGCTGTGGTTTGGCGTCTTAGCTAGGGCTAGCACCCGGGAGCAGAGGACTGAGAATCAAGGACCAGGCACGTGAAGCTGCCATATACTCAATCAGTGGAACAAAGTTAGAGTCCAGTGGCACCTTTAAGACCAACACGCACACTTTCATTGTCTGACGAAGTGTGGCGTGTGCCTATTCAAGGCGTGAGCTTTCGTATGCACGCACACTTTCATTGCCTGACGAAGTGTGGTGTGTGCATATTCAAGGCGTGAGCTTCCCTGTGCACGCACACTTTCATTGCCTGACGAAGTGTGGCACACTTTCATTGTCTGACGAAGTGTGGTGTGTGCATATTCAAGGCGTGAGCTTCCCTGTGCACGCACACTTTCATTGCCTGACGAAGTGTGGTGTGTGCCTATTCAAGATGTGAGCTTTCATGTGCGCGCACACTTTCATTGTCTGACGAAGTGTGGTGTGTGCATATTCAAGGTGTGAGCTTCCGTGTGCACACACACTTTCATTGTCTGACGAAGTGTAGTGTGTGTATATTCAAGGTGTGAGCTTCCGTGTGCACGCACACTTTCATTGCCTGACGAAGTGTGGTGTGTGCCTATTCAAGATGTGAGCTTTCATGTGCGCGCACACTTTCATTGTCTGACGAAGTGTGGTGTGTGCATATTCAAGGTGTGAGCTTCCGTGTGCACACACACTTTCATTGTCTGACAAAGTGTAGTGTGTGCATATTCAAGGCGTGAGCTTCCGTGTGCACGCACACTTTCATTGTCTGACGAAGTGTGGTGTGTGCATATTCAAGGTGTGAGCTTTCGTGTGCACGCACACGTTCATTGTCTGACGAAGCATGGTGTGTGCATATTCAAGGTGTGAGCTTTCGTGTGCACGCACACGTTCATTGTCTGACGAAGCATGGTGTGTGCATATTCAAGGTGTGAGCTTCCGTGTGCACATACACTTTCATTGTCTGAAGTGTGCGTGCACAAAAGCTCACACCTTGAATAAAACTTTGTTGGTCTTAAAGGTGCCACTGGACTAACTTTATTCTATGGCTTCAGACCAACACAACCGCCCACTTTGATGAATACCGAATCAGACCACTGATCCTTCAAGTAAGTATTGCCTACTCTGGCTGGCAGCAGTTCTCCAGGGTCTCAGGTAGGGATCTTTCATATCACCTCCAATCTGTTTTAACCGCGGGTGCCAGGGATCGAACCTGGGATCTTCTGTGTGCCGAGCAGATGCTCTACCCAATGAGCCACAGCCCCTCCTCAGACGAAGCAAGCCCCACTCACCAGCTTCTGGAAGAGGTGGCCCAGGATAACACTGCTGTCCCAGTTCTGGACCTTGGGGTAAAGGCTGTCATAGAACTCCTTGTGGATTTCGTACAGATCCTGGATCTTATAGAAGATGGTCTCGATCTGCTGGGTGGTAAGGACTGGCTGGGAGGTGGTGGCCGTCGCCTTCAGGGGCTTCATGGGCTGCAGGGGAAGGCAAGAGGATCATCGCAAAAAAAAAAAACCCACGTCCTTGCAAAACAAGGCTGGAGAAGGGACTAGCCCCCAAGCCCACCTGCACAGATGCCGCACCGCAAGGTCAGCTGGGGCACAACAACGGCTGGGAAATGGGATGCGTACAATTGAGCAGTGGTACAGAAATGTTTGGGACTATTTTCTAGCAGACAAAGTTACAGATTGGACAGCACACAATGAACCTGTACCCCGCCCCACCCCCCCAAGTCGATCCCTTATCTGCTTTGGAACACATTCATGCACACTGTGGCCAGTGCTGCAACATCAAACCACACTTCGCATGTGCAAAGAGGGCATCACGGATACAACACCTCCCCTAAAATCCTGTGCAGGAGACAAGAGGAAAGCGGCATCGTGATCCAGATTTCAGTCAGCCCTTGAGTCTGGTTCGTGCGCTCATCGCTTGAGAACAGGAACAATCAGCAACAGGTTGTCAGTCAAAAGACCTTTGACGTCCGTCTTGCCTCAACTAAGGCCGGGGTTTTTTGGCATTGGCCCCTACTTGGCGGAATGAGCTCCCATATGAAATCAAGGCCCTGCCTTGATTCTGCAAGGCCTGTAAGACAGAGCACTTCTGCCAGGCTTTTAGTTGAGGAGGTGGGTGTCTCCCCCCCACCCCCGCGCGATTGGGCCTCCACTTCAGCGGGTCAGATCTGTATCTAGGAACCCCAATCTGAAAAAACTCATCTGTTGAGGCACTGATCAGCACATAGGAATATTGTTGTATTTTTATCTGAAGTGTTTTAATGGTTTTTAAAATGTTGTATATGGTAATTGATGGAACCCACCCAGAGTCTGCTATCCCTGAGGAGAGATACAAATCAAATCAAACCAAATAAATAAATAAATAAATAATCTTATCTCCAAGGAGAGTTGAAGGGAAGCCAGTCACACATTTAGCTGCCAAATGAAGGTGAAACAAGCCCCCAGTTCCCATCTTGCCTCCGCCATTGGCCTACTCAGTGGCCTTCAGCCAGCCACTCATTCTGCGCCCTTAGGGCCGCTCTGCAGTATAGGAATAATTCTGTCTTACCCCTTGCAGGGCTGTTGTAAGCATTCTGAGTCCTTGAAAACACTATACAGATGCAGAAAGGAACATTTAAGTGCTTGCAAATTTCCGCATTGTTTTTAAAATTTTATATATGGTAATCGATGAAACCCGCTGTAAGTCTGCTATCCCTGAGGAGGGATTCAAATCAAGAAAGAAAGAAAGAAAGAAAGAAAGAAAGAAAGAAAGAAAGAAAGAAAGAAAGAAAGAAAGAAAGAAAGAAAGAAAGAAAGAATCTTCTCTCTAAGGGAGAGCTGAAGGGAAGCCAGTCACACATTTAGCTGCCAAATGAAGGTGAAACAAGGCCCCGGTTCCCATCTTGCCTCCGCCACTGACCTACTCAGTGGCCTTCAGCCAGCCACTCACTCTGCACCCTTAGGGCCGCTCTGCAGTATAGGAATAATTCTGTCTTACCCCTTGCAGGGCTTTTGTAAGCATTCTGAGTCCTTGAAAACACTATACAGATGCAGAAAGGAAAATGTAAGTCCTTGCGAGTTTCCGCACTGCGCCACCAAACAGAAGGGACCACATGCGGGTGTTACGCAAGCCACGGTAGCTGCAGAGCCGCCTCTGGCTTGGGTGTCAGGGAAGAAAAAAGGAAGCTGGCACTATAAATACACGACAAAAGTGGACACTTTCGACATGAGACCCGTCAGAGTCGTCTACTGTCGGTTCAATGAACTTATACGATTCACTGCCCACAAGCTGTGGTGGGATTTGCTAGCAGGGAGGGCTTTTTGAAAAGTCAGACGAAACTAATGGAGCTGTTCGCTAAGGCAGCTAAATGGAACTTCTCTGTTCAGAGGCAGTATACCTCCACATGCAGAACCTCCGTATTCAGAAGCAGTAAACCTCTGAAACCCAGCACCAGGAGGCAACAGTTGGTCTCTATGCCCTGTTTCCTGGCCTTCAAGGGTAAAAGGTTGGCCGTTGTGTGAAACAGTATGTCGGTCTACATGAACCACTGGTCTGATCCAGCAGGGCTCTTATCTTTACATTCCCCAGATATAAGACACTTAGGAGAAAGTTGGGTGTGGATTTCCCAGAGCCACTTGGGTGGCCATTGCCATGGGCAGAATGCTGCATGAGACAGACCTTATATCCAGAGAGGCAAGTCATAATGTGAGGTCTATCGAGGGCTATCGGCCAAGATCACTAAAAACTGAACCTCCACGGTCAGAAGCAACGTATCTTAGGATGCCAGATGCAGGGAAGAATGAACCCTCTGCGCAGGGTGGCTGGCACTAGACAGAGCTTTTGTCCAATCCAGCAATACTTGTCCTCGATCGGCCTCTCCCGCTTTCTTCTTGCTGCTACAGGATTTGGTATATGGTTGCTTCCACAGGAAGGTTTTGTTCTGTCCCCCAGCCCCCAATGGCAGTGGGCTCTTTTGGGGGCTTCCGCAAATCATCACGCATTTGTTCACTTGCTTGGCTTCACCTGCTTCATTTCATTCCTCCCCCCCCCCCCCCCCCCCCGCTCACTTTGGGACTATCTTTCCTGAAAGTTTGTACTTCAAGTGGGTTTAGGGAGCACAGGATGGGAAAGTAAGGATTCCTGCGCCTCTCTAACAGCTCCCAGCATCGTATCCTCTAGCTATCTACCCTCATGCTGTGTTTTTTTTTAATTAGCAGGAAGTATACTGCTATAATCTGAACTACACTCTAGTGATAGACCTACTATCATTTAACAAAAAGCATTCTGGCAGTGAAGGGGGAGAAATGGGGGAGTGCCAAGGGAAATAGAGGCAAAAGCAGAAAATCCCCGTGGGTGGAGGTATTTTTATCCTGACTTTTCACCCTCGCAACAACCCTGCGAGGTAGGCTAGGCAGAGAATATGCAGCTGGCCCAAAGTCGCCCAAAAAGGCCATAGCAGAGAAGAGAGAAGAGAAGACAGAAGCGAGAACACAGAAGAAGAGGAGGAGGAGATTGGATTTATACCCAGCCCTTCACTACCCAAAGGAGTCTCAGACTGGTTTACAAACTCCTTTCCCTTCCCCTGCCCACAACAGACACCCTGTGAGGTAGGTGGGGCTGAGAGAGCTCTTCCTCTCTTCCGAGAACTGCTCATGAGAGAACAGCTCTGAGAGAACTTGTGACTGACCCAAGGTCACACCAGCAGCTGCATGTGAAGGCGTGGGGAATCTAACCCAGTTCTCCCAGATTAGAGTCCACGCTCCTAACCACTACACCAGACTGGACCTGGACTGTCCAAATCCAGCCTTTATCTATTAACACCACAGACACTCTCCTCTCGCTCCTCCTCCTGTTCCCTGATAACACTCCTAATAACCAAATCACAACCACATCTTCAGCAACAACCCCCCCTCCCCAGGGGGCCATTAACAGCACACAGTGGTGAGCGGAATGGTTCTGCCCCCAGCTGCTGAGCTCTACTCACAAGCAACAGTGCCTCCAGCTGGTTTATATAGATCTCCTCGCTGGCCAAGAAATCCGAAAGCACCAACTTGCGCATCTCGAGGCTTTTACCGGAATCGCGCTCACCCTGCAAGGAAGAAGAGAGCCATAATCAACGGAGCTCATCTGCAACAAGACACAACAGAGACTGAGCCCTCCAGTGAGGACAGGCCGGCGGGGCTGTTGTCATTCCCGATTCTGCAAGCTGGGGCGCTTGTTGCTTTTGGGATACCCCCATGCCATTTATAGACAACAATGCAAACCTGACGTCAGAAAACGTGTGCCTTTCGATGGGGGGGAAATTAGCCCGGAGAAAAGGAAACGGTGCAAAAATAAAAGCCTCGCGGGTCTGATTCTCAGCAGGGAGAGGCAAAATCGAAAACGGGGATATTCAAATCGAGCGGCACCGCTTTCAAAATTCACTCTCATGCCTGCCCTCATGGGAGCACCAGAGCGAGGTCTTCTGGAGGCAGGATGCGAAAGTTGATCGGGATCAAAGCCGCCGTTTTATCAAAAAGTCACATTTCTCAAGATGATACAGGCTGCAGAAGAGGATTAAGACAGCAACAAGAACTGCCATTTTTACTCGGCTGGTGGGCTTTCGTGAGTTTCAATCTGCGATGCCCAAATCCGCTTTTCCATCTCTTTTTGCCTCTGGAGGTGGCTGTCACGACGACCCTGAACATTTTGATCAGTTTAATTCTCATGGTTCCTGAGTGGTTTCACATGCAGCCCTTTTACATTCAGTGCTCCCTCTGAGCTGAGTTAGTGGGTAAGGGAGGGGAGGAGTCCACTGTTCCCTCTAAGCTGAGTCAGTGTGAGCCGGCTCACAGTTTTTTCGCCTCCAGCTCACACATTTGTGTCTTAGCTCAGGAAGGAGGGCTCCAGAGCAAACTAATCTATACAGTAGCCAAATCGCTGGCTCACAACTTTAATGCCAGTAGCTCACAAGGTAGAATTTTTGCTCAGAAGACTCCGCAGCTTAGAGGGAGCATTGGTTACATTCTAATAGAGTTTCCGCAAAATCACATTAAAAATGTGAAAATTTTATGGGGAAACCTCCACGTTAGGAAGAAGAAACTGTGTGACCGTTTGCAGCGGCAAAGGTAAATTGGAGGATTTTTGAGTCAAACCAGTAGGGCTGTGAAATTCATTTCCAGCCGCCATTCCATTCCAATCCATTCCAATCCCATTCAAACTTCCAGCAATTTTGTATTTGTGGTAGTGGCTTCACTGGAGCTATCGTACACCTGCCATGACAAATCAGGAGCTGTGGCTCAGTGGCAGAGCCCGGGTTCAATCCCCGGCATCTCCAGTTAAAAGGACCAGGCAGCAGGTGACGGAAAAGACCTCTGCCTGAGACCCTGGAGAGCCACTGCCAGTCTGAGTGGTCAATACCAACCTGAAGGGACCAATGGTCGGATTCAGTGGAAGGCAACTTCAGGCCAAGAAGGATCCTCCAGCTTTTGTAAAAATCACTACATTAATTGCAGTTTTCTATCCAATGGCAATTTTTTTTATCATCCAGAGGGGTGGCAGAAGCAAAAATACACAGAGGAAAAGACTAGTTCCAGGCGGTCAGCCATGTTGGTCTGAAGCAGCAGAACAAATCTAGAACTCGGTGGCACCTTTAAGACCCACAAAGGTTTATTCAAGGTATGAGCTTTCGTGTGCAAGGCACGCTTTTTCAAATACACTGGAATGGAAGGTAAGAGTTCAGACTTATGGACAGAGGCTGGACAGCAATGTTCCCTCTAAGCTGTGGAGTCCTGTGAGCAAAAATTCTACTTTGTGAGCTACTGGCATTAAAGTTGTGAGCGAGCAATCTGGCTATTGCATAAATCAGTTTGCTCTGGGGCCATCATCCTTCCTGAGCGAAGGCAAAAATCTGTGAGCTGGAGGCTAAAAGACTGTGAGCTAGCTCTCACCAATTCAGCTTAGAGGGAATACTGCATGTAACATGATGAAGATGTTTTAAGATATGCGAAGACAAAACTAAATAACAAGCTAAGGTTATAGGGTCAACAGTCAAAATCGGAGATAAATGTGTAAAGGTATCTTTTTCTAATTGTGGGAAGTAAACGAAGACTCTCCATTTGACTGTGTAAGATAGCCATGGCTTGCCTAAAGCGGTATCTCTCGCCTGCCATTGGCAGGTGGAGCTGGTATCCACTTGTAATGGCTTATGGCTAAATAAAATAAAAGTCACTCAACAGGGCAAAGTTAAGTGCCTCTGAGTACAAAAAGAGTGCATTTCCCATTCTCTGCAGAGCTAGGGGCATCATAGCATGGGATTTATCCCATTTTATCCACACAACAAGTCTTCAAGGTCGGATAGGCAGAGGGGGAGTCACTTGCCCACTGAGCTTCAAGACTGGGCTGGGATTCGAACCCAGGCCTCTCCCAAACTACCTCTGGCATTTCAGCAAAAACACTGCTCTGCTGTAAGGTTAAAAAGGGAATGTTCGCGTCCTCTAAAAGATCAGGGTGGGGGAGAGAAAATACAATTCCTCCGCCACTGAAACATGTTTCTGGCTGAGCTGCCCATTTATCTTGCAAAAAAACTCAGAAATCCCGCCCCCCAAACCCAAATGTGAAATAATCTAGAAAACAGCCAAATCGTCCACAGAGGAAACACTGAAAGGCATGCAACAGAACGCAGTCCGTGTTTACTACACATCAACAAACAACAACAATGATCACGGCACATTTCAAGTGTTCATACGCATTCTTTTAGTGATCCCCACGACAGCCCTATAACGTAGGCCAGTATTATCACCCTCAAAGTGCAAACAGGAGGCTGGGAAAAGAACGCCTTGCCCAAAGATACCTCATGTGAGTTGTGGCTGACGTGAGATCTGACATTTTCCTTTCTCACATGCCAAGCTGCACTGACGATCCCACATTCGCAAAGCAGCCCCCAGGAAAAGCCTTCGCCCGACCAGGTATATCAGTATCGCTCCAAAACCAAGCATGGATCTGGTGCCTGCCCGCAAGCCCAAGAAGCAGGCACTTTCCCTATTTGCACGTGGAACTCCCTGGCACACGGCGCAGGAACGACTATTGGCTGAGCCAGAGGTAACTTTGGGAGCAGAGTAGGCACATTCGGTGCAGAGGAGAGCCATGTCTGTGGCGGAAAGGCACCGTCCTGCCTGGAGTCCCCTTTCCCGTGCTGCCTCTCGCCTCGCTTCCAAATCCCCCCTTCGAACCACTCATCCCAACCAGTGGTCCCTCTAAGCTCTGGAGTCTTGTAAGCAAAAATTGTACTTTGTGAGCTACTAGCATTAAAGTTGTGAGCGAGCGATTTGGCTACTGCATAACCTAGTTTGCTCTGGAGCCCTCCTTCCTGAGCTGAGACAAACATGTAAAAAAATGTGAGCTGGAGGCTAAAAAAAGTGAGCCAGCTCACACTAACTTAGCTTAGAGGGAACACTGATCCCAACTTAGGCAAACCTTAAACCAGTGCCAAAAGCAATGCTCCCTCTACTCTGTGGAGTCTTGAGAGCAAAAATTCTACCTTGTGAGCTACTGGCATTAAGGTTGTGAGCAAGCGATTTGGCTACTGTATAGATTAGTTTGCTCTGGAGCCCTCCTTCCTGAGCTAAGACAAAAATGTGTGAGCTGGAGGCTAAATAACTGTGAGCTGGCTCACACTAACTCAGCTTAGAGGGAACTCACCTCCCTTACCACTCTGTCCAAACTTAAACTGCAGACTCCTTGGGGGCAGGGGTCGGGCTGCCAACTCTAGGCTGGAAAATTCCTGGAGATTTGGGAGTGCAGCCGAGGAAGGCAGGAATTTGGGAAGTGGGGGGATCTCTGCAGGGTCTAATGCCAGACAGTCCTCCCTCCAAAGCGTCAGTTTCCTCCAGGGGGCGTGATCTCTGTCTTCAGGAGATGAGCCGGGATCCAGGGAGATCTCCAGCCCCCACCTGGAGGTTGGCAACCCTAGGCAGGGGGCCTGCCCCACTTGGGAGGCTCCCGCAGCCGGAACAGATTCTTGAGGGTGCTCGGGAAACAGACCTGCAGTGCAGAAGGTCTGACTCACCTTCCCTTCCTTGAGGATCAAAGTTCCCTGCCAAAGTTCCTGGCGCCTCCCCCACCGTGCCTCAGGCACCCCCACAGAGCCAACCCCCTTTTCCCAGGAACAAGCGTGCCCACACAATGGCTGCCAGCCCAGGCCTGGCACTCCTATCCACAGAGCTGTTTTTTCCACAGGGGGGAAAAAAAACAGAGCAAAGCGGGTCAGCAGCTGCCTGCAGACGGAGGCCGGTTCTCCCCCGAGAGCGGAGAAAGAAGAAAGACCGAGGCTTCATTGGCATGCTGGGGCTCAAGCGCGCCCAGAAGCCAAGCCCCAAATACTCAGGACAGAGAGGACGACGGCTGAAAATCTGGGTATTGGGCGCTTCATTCTTAACTGCGCTCTGTACATGCTCAGGGCTCCTCCTTCACGCGTTTAAGACCTGAATGTTGGCACTGAAAAGACAGAGGGGTCCCTGAGCCACGAGTTCTAACTAAAAATGCAAATCATGGTGTTTTCTGCCCCATAACTCTTGGGGTAGGTGGTGGGAAGAAGAGAAGCAGCCCATCTAACCGCCGAGAGCATTTTTACCCCCACCCCCACCCCTTCCTTCACAGAGCACCAAGCGGCATCACTTGTTCCCTCTCCCTCATTTTAACCACACAACAACCCCGTAAGGTAGGTTTAGGCTGAGAAAGGGCAACTGGGCTGTGGCAGGGGGGAGATCTGAACCTGCGTCTCCCAGACCCTAGTCCAAAACCGTACCCATTAAACTACGCTGGCTTGCCGTTGAGATTTCGTTCCGTTCTTTTCTAGCTACTTTTCAATAGTAAGAGAGGCGGGGCGGGAGAAATCTGTGCCTCCTCCCCTGCAAAAACAAATGCCCTGCGGCCAGCTTCACACCTCTTCCCTCACCCAAATACACTCCTTACTCCAGACCAGTAGCTGCCTGGAGAAAGAGGCCGTGCCAAAGAAACATTCCCCCCCCCCACCCCTCAGCACCATCTGAGAACCAACAGGGCAGGGGAAAGGTGACTCCTTCCAAAACCACCAACAGCTCCCCCACATAC